CTCCTCCCAGTTTGGTGTCATCTGCAGACTTGCTGAGGGAGCACTCTGTGCCCTCATCCAAGTCATTGATGAACACATTGAGCAGCACTGGGCCCAGTACTGACCCCTGGGGGACACCACTGGCCATTATTTAATTTTGCCATTATTCAAGTTTGCCGTTATTTAATTCTGTTACATCTCAAAACTCTTATTTTAGCTCCTTTCCACCACAAAGCTTCTCACAAGGGACTTCTCTGAACATTAAATGGATCAGGCTGTTGCTTCAAATCAAAACAAAATTGAAGTACTAGCAAAATTAATTTCCTGTAAGGATAATACGGCTGGTATTGCAATATTTACATGACATATGTGAGTAACACATGCTTTGTAGCTTGTGCAGGGTAAGAGAATTCAGTAGGGCCTATTCAGAGCAGGTAGCATTTTTCATCTGTCTCATTTTTGCAGTATTTTACAGAACACCTGAAAAGGGTGAATGCAGCTTTTGGGACATACTTAACTGCCCCATGGTTTGGACATTCATTTATACATGATGCCATGTCCCACAGCAGACAGACTTGAAACTTTTATGTAACTACTCAATAAGGTTAGGCCCTCTGAAAAAGTTCCAGAGAGAAAAGTACGTATTTCCAAGCAAAAAATAGCATCTATTATTAAGATGACCTGATTTAAGTCTCCTTTAGTGCTCAGCCACATAGGAAACAAGATAAAAAAGCTTCTACACTGAGTAGTGTTTGGATTATCTGAAAAATCATAGTCCAGACAAGTACAAGCTAGTATATAAAATCATTTTATGAGTAGCTTCAATATCAGTTAACATCAAGTCAGGAAATACTGCAATGATTTTTAATTCTTTTTCAGGTAACGTCATTGGATTTATGGATAAGTTCAGTGGGGCCAGCACTCCTGGTGCTACATGCAGAAACATGGAATTATTTCTTACCTTTCTTGGCAACTTTGTATAGCGAATATAGTCTTCCAGGAACATCAGGGCAGCCACCACATCAGCAGGCATCTCTGGTATCTTCTGGCTAAATAAAATAAAGTAAAATGGATAAAATTCTATGAAAATGCCTGAATTCCAATAATACTTCAATTAGGTACCATGTGATCCTACTACAACAAGAAAAATATTTTTATCTTAGTCATTTTTTCAAACATATTTTACTAGAACAACATACTCAAGAAGGCAGTGATGGTTATACTGAAACCCAACCCAGGAGTAAGAAACAAACACGGGTACCTTGTGCACTGCTCCATTGCTGAGCGAATAAACTGACCGATCAGAGCCAGAAACTGCTCTGTGTATCTGGAGTGAAACTGTTTCAGGAGGGTAAGGAGCCCAAGAACTAAAGGAAGCCAGTCAATCTGATCAGCTGGCCGTTTGCACACCACTCCTGCACAGAAAGAAAACAAAACCTATAGATGTTGGTAAAACAGAATGTATTCCTTATACTGCAGAAAAATGCAGCAACTTTATTTTTGCCACAGTAAATATCATCAAGCTATCCAATGAGATGAAATAAGATGAAATTATAAAGTCAAAAGTTGAGATTCAGTTTCCTACTCCATTGTAGGAGTCAGAAACTGCAAATCCTCTATATAGCTGATTTTAAATAGGTTTTCGTAAGGTTTACAACGAGAGAACAAGAAGGAACAACAACTTATACAATACCTAAATTTTTGTTGTACTGAAGTTTGGGAAACTGGGAAATCAGAAATAGGAAGTTGACGGTGGGAAAATACGGGAGCCGTTTTGTTGTTATGTAGATCTGAGGAAGACAAAAAAGAGGAACACAGTTTTTCCACATATTAGCAATTTTTCCCTACTCACTTAGTAATCTGCAAAAAAGCAAAATATGCCAAGCCCCAGAAGTGGAGCCTAACCTTATTGAGTGGATTGTGAATGCCAGCTGCTTCCAAATAGGCTGTGATCTCATAAAGAAGAGTGTTGTCTTCTTTAGGATAAGGCAGTGATGGATTCTGGTAATGTGCTTCGATGTCAGCTAATATTGCTCTAAAGGAATACAAATTAAGTACTTACTTATACTGCCCACAAATAAACCTGAAGCAATGCTGCAGGTCAGACTAATATTAAAGTCTCACACACACACAAAATTTGAGCTATTCACAAGCAAGAGTTAACCAACTTTTGGATTTTTTCTCTTTCAAAAATCAGACCTTACTTGTTTCAAAATCAGCACCAAACAGGGTCACTGTTCTTATCTCTTACCCAGGCATGATCTCAATTCCAGGAACAACCAAATGCAATTAGAAAGCTGCACTGCCCCCTAACATGTTCATTCAAATTACTAGCTAGTCAAGTTATTTAACCCACGGTTTTATAGCGTTCCAATTCTAATACTACTACTACTAGTAATAATAATAATAATAATATCAATAATCAGACTCCACATTTTGCCCTAATTTAGATTTTAAAGATTGCCTAGTTGATCACAACAATTAACATGGCATTGGTACAGGCAGTTCTTTTTGCTTCTTACTTATTGAGATTTTCCAAAGCAGCAGCCAAGTGTTTGGAGTCAAACCTGCAGGAATAGTTCAATTCATTGGTAATCTGCCGTCTTAAAAGCTGCATCTGACCAACCTGGTGAAACAAACAAACCAAACAGGGGTGGGGAGTTACACTGAAGACAACAGGAGAACAGGGAAGTCAAACTAAGGAAAACTATTATAAATAATTACAATGTCCAGTCATACAGATTACCTTAAATCCTCATTGCCCCTTAAAGCCTTTGTAGGGCTGCCCAACCTAAGTACACACACTGGAAGTTGACTCTGCTCTCTCATTTAATTAGAGAGCTTTGATTACGACTGCAATTAGAACTGAGAGACCCCAACTGTACAGGCAAAGGAGAGGTCACAAGGCCCAGGTTTCTCCCACAGTTAAAGGGAA